TTCACAATGTGATCTATAATTTGTTATGATTCACAGTTAAATGTCTTCTGGTATTATCTGCTTTCAACCAAGGCCCGTCTGATATCAGCAGTAATAGCCCTCATTCTATGTCCTCCTCTGAAACCAGCTTGAACTAATGATAGTTTTTGTTGATGTACAGCTGCATTTTTGTTCAATTATTCTGAAGTTTCATCCAAGTCTTTTTCTTTGGAATTTACAGAAATAGTCATCTCTTCCAGTCAGTTGACCAGGTAGCTATCTTTGGAAATCCTTCACATAGGTAAATAATTCTTCCAAATATTGCATCCATGTCCATCTCACCAATATTCTGTCATTCCTAGAGCCCATTTTTTTGTAAATTATTCCATATAGTTTTAACGTCTTCCTTTAGTACAGTGATTAATTTTTTAAAATTTATTTACGTGTGTGTGTGTGTGTGTGTGTCTGTACCATCAAATTGGATCTGACTGGTACAGGAGGAGATTGTCCCTCCTTCTCCAGCACAGCATCTAATGGATTTGAACCGAGCACCTCTGGGATTGCAATGCAGCTTCTTGCCACTAGGCCATTAGAGCTCCCTCTAATACAGTGATTCTTGATAATAAAAATTGACAGGAATATTAATCTCTTCCAGTTAGTTGACCAGGTAGCTAGCTACCTTCCAAATTCCTTCACATAGGTAAATAATTGTTCCAAATTTTGCATCAATGTCCATCTCACCAATATTCTGTCATTCCTAGAACCCGTTTTTGGTAAATTATTCCAGACAGTTTTAACATCTTCCTTTAGCACAGTGATTCTTGACAATACACAATCTCCTGAAATGGTTGAACATCAATTGTTCTTTTTGGTACAACAGCATATCCTTTTCATCTTGTTTGGATGCTTCATGTGTCCTTCCTTATCCTTAATTAAATTAAACATAAATGGGTTAAAACTCCCAATTAAAAAATGGCAATCAAGACAATTTATTAAAAACATGATCCAAATATGTTATATTAATGTCAGACAAAATAGACTTCAAATATTGTAACAAGAAACAAAGAAGGGTGTTTAATAAAGAGTCCATTCATAGGGAGAAATAACAAATATAAACATATATGCTTATACAAAAGGCTCACTGGTGGTGTAACCTGAAGTGAACTAGCTAACCCAAAGGCCAGGCATCCCTGGCAGTTTGAATTCACCAGTGGTCCCATAGGGAAGATGGAAAATACCTTCTCATTGAGATCTGTTGTTGTTGCTATGTGCCATCAAGTCAACTGCAACTCCTAGTGACCCAGTGAGCAACAGACCTGAGCCTGGCCCTGCCCTGCACCGTCCTCATGACCTCTGAGATGCTTGAGGCCTTTGCTGTAGCTACTGTCTCTGCCCATCTTGTTGAGAGTCTTCCTCTCCTTCTTTGAACCTCCACCTTTCCAGCATTATCTTTGTCCAAGGACCATCCCCACTCCCCGCATACTCAAGGTTTGTGAGAGTAAGCTTCACTATCCTTGCTTCTAAAGGTAATCACAGTTGTACTCTCTCCTGGACATATTTGGGTTTCTGTTTTTTACAGTGCAGGAAATATTCAGTACTCTTCTCTAATACTTCAATTCAAAGGTATTGATTCCTTGGTCATTCTTATTCACTGTCTCAACTTCCAGATGCTTACAAAACAACTCAAAATGCTATCGCTTATATCAAGTGCACCTTAGACTTTAAACTGAGAATATTGCACTTTCGGGCTTTTAAGAGCCTCTTGACAGTATTTTTCCCAAATGCAACATGTCTTTCACTTTCTTCACTGCTGTCACCCTGGGTGTTGATTGTGGATCCAAGTAAATGAAATAATTGACAATTTGGATCTTTTCTCCATCTGTCATGATGTTGTCTATTGATTAAGTCGTGAGGATTTTTGTTCTCTTGATGTTTCTTGAAATATAACCTGTATTGAAGGCTATAATTTTCTGCAGAAAGTGCTTCACATCCTCAAGACTTCTTTCAAGCAAGGCTGTGTCATCCACCTAGTTATTGATGCCAATCCTGATGCCACATTTTTTTAAATAGTCAAGCTTCTTCGTATAGTAATCTTTACCTTGAAGAAGTACAATCAAGATGCTCCTTGAAGACAACGATGGTCAAACTTCATTTCACGTACTTGCTCGTGTTGTCAGGAAGGGACAGTCCTTGGAAAACCACATTCTGCTGGGAGACAGCTGGTCAGTGGCAGTGAGGAAGACCCTCAAGAAAATGGGCTGTTCAAAGTGACTTCAACAATGAGTTCAAACATATCATAGGTCATGAGGTGAGGGCAGGCAAGGAGAAATTTCAATCTTCTGCTCACAGGCTCATTACGAGTAGCAGTCAACTTACTGTACCAGCAACAACAAACAAATGGAAAAGAAAAGAGAGTAATGTAAAACTATTCCATCTACAGATGCGATTCTCTTCCAAATAGAAAACAAAGAATACACAAATACATACACAATATCAATACTATTCAAGATTGACTTACAGATTCATAAAATCCTATGAAAATTCCAACAATCTTTATGGCAGTAATGGGCAAGCTGATTCTAAAGTTCATATAGGAGCTTAAGAGGTCCTCAAGGCAAATAATCCTCTAAAAGAATAAAATTGGGGGATTCATACCCTGATTTTAAAAATTAACTATAATCATCATCAATACAGTGTGACATTGTGTAAGAAGAAATATGGATTAATGCAACAGAATTGAGAATTCAGAAATAAGTCCTGTGAGGGGACCAAGACTACTCAATGGGAAAAAGAAGGGTCTTCAACAAATGATGCCAGGACAACTTGAGACCCACACATAAAATGTGGGTCCATACCTCACATACCTCACACCATAGGCAAACATTAACTCAAAATAGATCAAAGGACTAAATATAAGGGAGACAGAGATTCTATAAAGGGAACTTAGGGGTACATTTTTATAATCTTGAATTTGTCAGTGGTATCTCAGATCTCTAGGGAGCTCTAGTGACCCACTCTGTGGGGAGCTGCCTTGTCTCTCCGGTGGTTCGTCCACCACCAGTTCAGAACAAGAAACACAGACAGTCTCCTCCCAGGCAATTCCAGCTGCAGAAACCAAAGAGTGAGTCACTAGGATATGGCTCTGAGTTGACAGTCCTGAGTTTGCATTTGAGTTTTTTTAGATGTGGCATCAAAAGTTCAAAGAAACAGTAAATTATACTGGAATTAATTAAAATGAAAAGCTTTCATACATAAAAGGGCACTATAAAAAAGTAAAAAGAAAATCGACAAAATGGGAGAAATTATTTATAAATTCTATTACGAAAGGAGTGTATCAGGGATACAACCTGTCTCCATACCTTTTCAATCTCTATGTGGAACAGATCATCTGCAAGGCTGGACTTTATGAGGAGTAATGTGGCATCAGGATTGGAGGAAGACTCGACAACAACCTGTAGTATGCAGATGACACAATCTTGCTGCAGAGTTCGCTGAAGAAGGTAAGGACTGCAGACTCCAGTTTGGACTGTAGCTCAGCATCAAGAAGACTAAGATTCTCAACAATGGGCGAAATTGGCAGCACCATGATAGATGGAGAAGAGACTGATGTTAACAATTTCTACTTGCTTGGTTCCACAGTCAACACTCTTGGCACCAGCAGTTAAGAAATAAAAAAACAAATTGATTTGGGGAAAGCTGCTGTCAGAGACCTCTCCAAAGTGCTAAAGAGTAATGATGTCAATCAGGAGACAAAGGTACACCTGATTCAGGCCATGGTCTTTGCAATTACTTGCTATGCATTAGAGAGCTTGCCAATGACCAAAGATGACAGAAGAATTGATGTCTTTGAGTTGTGGTGCTGGAGAAGATTACTGAACATACAATGGACTACCAAGAGAATAAACAGGTTTATCCTAGAGGGGGTGAAACTAGACTGCTCCTTGGAGGCAGAGATTTTGACACTCTTTTTCACATAGTTTGGGCATGTGGGCAGGAGGGACCAGTCCCTGGAGAAGTATATCATGCTTGGAAGCGTGGAGAGACAGCGCAGAAGAGGAGGACCCTGGATGAGATAGATTCACACAATAACTGGGGTACTGGGAGAAGGTGTGTTGGAGACATTAAGACTAGCTTAGGACAGAACAGTGTTCAGAGCTATTGTACATAGGGCTGCTATGAGCTGCAGGCAACTCGATGGTACCTAACAACAACAACAATTTGGAATGCATATCAACATATCTTGTACTACATTCAGCATATATATAAAACATTGCTTTTAACACAATTTGTGTGTGTGTGTGTGTCACAAAAATAATCTAATTTAAAAATGGGAAAAGACATTTTTTTCAAAGAAGTTAAGGAAAAAGTCAATTAACACATGAAAGATTCATTCAGTTCACATCAGTGGTGATATGAGTAGACACAGACCTTATTAAAAAAAACACTTAAATGAGTGCTTCTTATAGAAGTTATACAGCAACAAAAAAGAATTCAAAGTTAAAAACAAATTTTCCAGGTCATTCTGTGAGAATTGATACAGCAATTATAAAATTTATCTAAAAATGCAAAAGATTTAAAATAATCGCCTTTAAGAACAAGGCTGGGGGATCTAAACTACAGAGGATACTGACAGTTACCCTGAAGGTATAGTACTGAGTGGTAAGTGATGAATGAAGGTATAGTGACGAGTGTGAGAGAGCAGTGGAGTGGAGAAATTCCAGAAACAAGAGTCTACATGACAAAGTAAGAGAAAGACCTCTCATTGCTACTTCAGTCACAAAAACTAACATGCACTATGTAACGAAAACAAATCTAAAACCCATAAAGATATTGAAGAAGGAGGAAGATTTCTTCCCAAATACAGAGTAGATAAAAATACCTTAAGAGAAAAAAACACGAGAGCCGAGAATGGGAGTTGAATCTGTCTTCTAACTGCACACCTGGTCACCTCTCTTCTCCTCCCCTCACTCTCACCACCTGCTTTCCCTCCAGCTTGCTCGCCACCCAGAACACCTTCCACCATGGCCATCTCAGCAAGTTCCCAATTGAAAAAAGGCATCAAGCAGGTGTATAGGGCCCTGCCTCAGGGTGAGAAAGTCCGGGCCATGTATATCTGGATCGATGGCACAGGAGAGGGACTGCGCTGCAAGACCCGAACCCTAGACTCTGAGCCCAAGAGTACAGAAGAGTTGCCTGAGTGGAATTTTGATGGCTCCAGTACTTTCCAGTCTGAAGGCTCTAACAGTGACAGGTATCTCCTCCCTGCTGCCATGTTTCGGAATCCAACAAGCTGGTGTTCTGTGAAGTCTTTAAGTACAACCAAAAGCCTGCAGAGATCTATTTAAGGCACACCTGTAAATGGATAATGGACACGGTGAGCAATCAACACCCCTGGTTTGGAATGGAGCAGGAATACATCCTCATGGGGACAGATGGCCACTCATTTGGTTGGCCTTCCAATGGTTTCTCTGGACACCAAGGTCCCTATTACTGTGGTGTGGGAGCAGATAAAGCTTACTGCAGGGACACTGTGGAGGCTCACTACCGGGCGTGCTTATTTGGTGGCATCAAGATTGGGGGGGACAAATGCAGAAGTCATGCCTGCCCAGTGGGAGTTCCAGATAGGCCCCTGTGAAGGAATTGACATGGGAGATCATCTCTGGGTGGCCTGTTTCATCCTGCACTGTGTATGTGAAGACTCTGGCGTTATAGCGACCTTCGACCCCAAGCCCATCCCTGGGAACTGGAACGGTGCTGGATGTCATACCAACTTTAGCACCAAGGCCATGCGAGAAGAGAACAGTCTGAAGCACATTGATGAGTCCATCGAGAGACTAAGCAAGCGGCACCAGTACCACATCCGCGCCTACGATCCCAAAGGAGGCCTGCACAATGCCCGGCACCTGACTGGATTCCACAAAACCTCCAACATCAACGACTTTTCTGCCGGTGTGGCCAACCATGGTGCCAGCATCCACATTCCTCGGACTGTTGGCCAGAAGAAGGGTTACTTTGAAGACCACTGCC